AAATAAAATTCTTTGCAGCTCAGTTATTCCCTCGCAGAGTTGTTCTTGCGTAGAAATCAAAGTTCAAGTTACGAGGGCAGAATCGACTTCGCAAACGCGCCGCTTCACTTAATTCAAAATTGTAATAATGATAACGATGATTTTGGCACTCATGTTTAATACGCGAGTCGACATTAGTGTCGACATTAGACACGGAATAACAGGTTTGTTAAAGATTAACGGCACAGTTAAATGAACTTGCAAACTCCGCTCCACATACGTTTCCTTCTATGTATATATTCGCGGATAGAATTATATTAGATTGCAATCTGGACCGTTCCGATTGAACGCATAAAAGACCCAACGCAAATCATATAAAAAAGTGGGTTTGGTCAAATTAGTTGGAAATGTGGTATTTTGTAGATTATGAGATGATCAAAAATTTTCTTAAGCACAAAAATATAAAAATGGATAGATTTTGCCATTTGAAACCCTTACAGAACTCTAATGCTGGTCAATACTGAAAAACAGTAATTAATTATTTATTTTAAGTATTAAAAGCACTGTTGTTTAGTACTCTAAATAAGTAGAGGAAGGTCACCGATACTGACATAGGTCTCCTAAAGTGACATCCCTTTATTTCTTAGACCTTTGCACTTTATTAATACTAATAAAAACGTGATCTGTTTAGCCAATTAAAAAAGTACAAACTCATAATTTTTTTTTTCACATATTTGTGACTTATTTCTATACCAAATCAGCCAAAAAAAATTCTATGAATCCGAGAAGAAAATTCTTACGGTGTTCTTTTGCAATTTGCGTAATTAAAATAATAATGACTGTATTATTGATAATATTATGTCATTTTAAATGTTTATAGCTTCATAAATTAGTTTTCTTTACGGAATAGGATATATCTTTATTTATAGAATAGGAATGTTGGCATTATATATATATTGCCTACTATGTCTGTTTTGGAGCCCATTTTGTCAGACGCTCATTTTTGCATAACTTACGAAAAACTTAATTATTGCAAAATTGCAAACAGTATTATAAAAACTGCTTATACTATCTGATAGAAGACACTTTTTAGTTTGTATTTATGTTTTTGAAGTTGTATTTTTATCTATTGTTTAAGAAATATTGTCTAAAAACAAAGTGGTATGTCGGTATCAGTGATCTTCTAATTAATTACTGTTTCTCAGTAATAAATTTACCAGTATTAAATTATAGCTAGTATTAAATTTCTGTAAGGAAAATTGCTATTTTGGATCTAATCGGACTGAAAAGTATCTTTATCTGTTAAACTATTCATTTTTTGATAACTATACCTTAATATTTTTATGCACAAAATAATAAGATAAATTAATTGATGTAAAGAAAACACACAAATGCTTTAAAAAAGTAGTTTGCAAGTACGCATATTGCAAATTGCATACTTTTTTGAAAAACGACTAAGTATTTTGTTTATATCAATTGGTTTATCTTATTATTCTGTGCAAAAAGGGATTAAGATACAATTACTAGAAAAAATGAATAGTCTAACAGATCTTTCCCATTAGATTCAAAGTAGCAACTTTCAAATATTGCTATAGCAAAATCTGCCTATGTTTTATGGTTTTGCTTAATCCTTCGTGATCATACTTCCTGAGAAATTTATTTGGTCACTCAGGGTCACAAAATGACCTCAACATTTTAATTGATTGCCGTATTTATAGCTTTTGTTTTTTAAAATTGCAAAAATTACTGAATATATTTTAAACATTATAGAATATGGAAATACAGTGACTTTTTAAAGTTTTTAATTTTAACATATTTAAAAAAATCGCAAAGGCTAACGTCCAACAACATGCGGTTGAAGGTGCAAAAAGGATATTTTAAACTTCGGATAAATGGCAGTTTAAGTCCCGTTTAAAAAAAGATCTTAGAAATATAAAGCCTTCACACCTTTTTGGGGTGAGTCCCCTGGACTCAGGTGACCACGAAGGGTTAAGGAAACTTTTAATCAGTATTTCATAATTTACAAAATATTACAGTTTTATCTAATTTAACCGAAGCCACTTTTTTCATACAATTTGTGCAGAGTCCTTTAAGCGATATAACGCATCTGTTTTAGGCTGAAAGTAAAAAAAAAAAGAAGAAATGGATATAAAGCGTCTTTACTTTTTGTGAAACTTTATTTACCATACGTAGAATTTGCGCTTACGCGCTTGGGTTAAACTCTAGGCATATATCCATTTGTCTTTCTCGGACACCAGCGCTACATTTCGCCTCTTTGCGGTTTTATATCTTCTCCTCCCTCCCCCCATCACCATTGCCGCCATCGTCGTCGTCGTCGTCGTCGTCGCCGTCGCACGATATCTTCGCGCGAATGTCAGCCGGTTGCAGAGGAGAGACGCGGGAAGAGATACCCCGTTAAAATTCAGCATTTCCGCGCGATGACACATCGGAAATTTTTGCAATATCTCAAATCGCGCGTCTTCCGTTACCGACCTGCCCTGCCCCTCCACGTTGTAGGGCCCTCTGCCTTAGTCCTCCGCGTTCTCCTTATCTCTTTTCCTCTTTTTCTCGTTCGCAATGCACCGCGCGATGCCTGAGCTGTGGCTCAAGCAGTGATTATGTTGCAGCACGGGTTACCAATACGTGCGCTGCCACGCACATTGGTAACCCAACTCGTGACTCGCGATTTCGAATAGGCGGCAGGGTCCCCGAGATTCGCGCTGGGACCTCTCAGGGAAATCCCTCCTCGGAAGACGCGCGTCTACGAGGAATTCACTGTGAATCACCGCACAACCGAAAGACCGTCCCAACGTACGTCAGAGCTGCCGAGTGTGTAGCAACATTGAGGATTTCACTTGCGGAAGAAGTACTTGATTCGTCTGTTCACTAGGCTTCCTGACGCCGGTGAAACCGGCTCGCCGAGACTTCTTCATGAAAGATGCGGGGAATCCTTAGAGCTGTTCTTATCGAAGAGAGAATCGAAGATCGCAACAATCGTAACTTGTTGTAATGTACGATATATACACACATGCATTTTTTTCGATGTAACGAAAACCGACAAGGAACATCAGAGTAAAAAATTACAAGAAACTTGGAAAAGTAGATAAAAGAAAAGGAATACTTAGGGAAAGTAATGTGAGAACAAGCGTACGAAAACAAGTAAGAGGGAACATGGAAATTCTTTCTCTTTTCAGCGTATTTTCACAGTATTTTCTGGATATTTAAATTTTAATATTTCCTTTTGAATCAAGTTAATTATAATTAAATTAATGATAATTTAAAAATTGTATAAAATAATATATTTTTAAACTAAAATATTTTGCATGAACCGTTGGTCATAAACAAAACATAAATAATCCTTGTATTCACGCCACTTTAATTCTGAAAAATTGAAGGATTACATAGTTTTGAACATTTTTTTCGTAATTTTAATATAATATAGGGAGCGTTTATGAAAAATACAGAAGAGATGCCAGAATTATTACAGAAAAACATTTTTATTTTAATACTGTTTACCTTTCACTAAACCACAGCAGTATAATCTTTTACAGGAGTATAAAAGTACACGCGTGTGATAATTTTACAATTACAATTTTATATCGATATCAAATTATCGGTATTTAATACTGTTCGTCTCTTATTCCATAATACATATACATATAAAAAAATCATAGAAATAAGCTAAAATTGCATATGTAGAAACAAGTAAGTTCCATGTAAATCACATGTTCGATATCTTAAATTGCATCAGTCACATTATATGCCAATTAACATATGTAAATTGTAACAAGTACACGCCTTCCGTAATCGCCTCGCTCGTAATTATCTCAAAGCTTTTTGCTTATTTCTTTGCGAAAAAATGATATCACTTTGATTGAATAGATTGAGAATAAATTCTCGTTACATTCTGCACATAAACGGTTAGAAATAAATACCTGCATAAATAAATGGATAAATAATAAATAAATAAATAAATAAATAGATAAACATAAGTAAATGGATGGATGTTGACGAAAATAAATAGACGGGATGGTACAAGATGTATGCAATAAATAGATAATGTGCGTCAATCGCGACGGATATTCATGATTCACTCTTGCAATTATCATTATCCATCTAAACGACGCGCGTGATGAATGCACGATGATAATTGCATTCGGGTACGTGCTACGTGCACGTCTGACCGGATTTAACACTACCTGAGCGATTGGTTGTGATCGAGTACGTGTTTTATCACATTGTTTGGCAACAACACGGCCGAGAGAATCTATAAATACCTAAAGCGTAAACAATAATTTCTTATTCCTGTTAGGCAACGTTATACGTCACGGCACTTGAATCGGTATCTTATATACTATCCGAGAGATGCTCAGACATTGCAATTCAACGTGAGGCCCGCAGAAAGGTCTTGCAGAAAAAAAGATGGAACGGAACTGTGGTACTTTTGCACCAATCTCTGCTTCTCTTTCAGCGCAATTTCCTGCACAAAAAATAATTCTTGCTATTTATTTACTAATTTTTTCTTTCTTCCTCTTATGACACTCTGAATTTATTTTCAAAGTGAGTTGTGAATTTTTAGGAATGTATGTTGATTTGCTTTGCTACCTACCGACTTTATTATCCTAACTCTAGTGTCCATTATTTCAATTGTTTTTGGTGTTACAATGATGTCAGAGGAACGATCGCTCGATTTAATTGGCTACGCATGTATATTATCGACTGCGAATGGTCTCAGAACGAAGGGGGCAAAAAACTAAGAAGAGACCATATTGAGCTCGTACGCGCACGCCGCGGTTCCGCTCTTTTGTAACTTTCTCCTCCCACCGTCCCGCCGCAGTTCCGTAGCTCCCTGTCGTCGTTCTAACGTCAAACGTTTAAGTAAATCTACCAAGTTCCCGGTATTCGCGCGTCACTAGACGCAATCTTCAAACAAGTTCCTATGTAAAAAAAAAAAAAGAAGAAAGATGTCCATTCGTCTACGGATTGCCAATTGCAAGGTCATTCGCGACAATACAGTTGCGTTTTTTGCTTAGTTTCAATCGCCGTCTTCTTCAAAGACGCGTCTCGCTCGATTCGTGCCGGTCTGAAGATCACCGCCAGTGATCGTCGCCACCGAGACGAATTCATCACCGAAGCGGATCGTCACTACTCCCCTGTCTTCCCCAAGTTACCCTAGCGAGTTCTCGGTGTCAATCACTGATGGATATCTCCGAGCTCATCATACTGTTGAAGACCTGAAGGGCACACACGCAACCAACGTAGAGCTTCATTCGCTCCGTGTCGCCGTCGCCATAGGATACCTCGATGTTTCTGTACGTCTGTATACAGCAATAGGTGCCGGTGCCCTGACAACTGCTGCCGATGTGATTGCACTTCACGTGCTCCAGATCCTTCGGTACCCGGGAACCCCGGGTGTCCGGAATTGATTCCACGGTGTAGTTGCAAATGGAGCTGTTTTGCGCCTGCTTCACTTCCAGTTCGAAAAGTTTTTCTTGCATCCTGGGTTGATTTTCGAATTGCCAGGTTACGTCCTCCGGATTGAATTTGTGATAATTTACGACAGTCCTTTTGTCGTGACGTTTTCTCCTAGCAACGAATCTCATCGAGAGCGCGTCAAAGTCGTGCTTGCGCAGGTAATCCTTTCGTAAAGACTCGCGATCTCTCGAGCCGTATTCATGCTTATGTCGACGGAAGGACATTGGTACTCGCTCCTCCGAGTCCTCGTACTCCAAGGAACGATCCAGAACTTGAGGATATTCGCGACTTTTCTTCTGTCTGTGGAAATCGCGATAGTACTCCAGATCGTCATCGAGACGTCCTGATAAATCTCTTGGCAGCGATTCCTCGAAATTGTAATAATTCGGATGAGAATGATGTCCGTGTCGTCGTCTTAGACTCCGACCTTGAACGAGCGGTATGTTGACGATGACATAGGCAACCAGAACAGGCAGGCAAGATCTGATGCTGAATATCGCCATTGTGTCGATCTATAAGTTCAAAATTTGCACAAAAGGACCTCTTCGAAGATTGACAGTCTTTATCGTTGGTCGTTGTTATTCTTTTTCTTCTTCCTTGACTCTCTATATCCTGGAATGGATCTCAGCTTCTTCCAAGATTTGCTTTTCGTCACATATAACTTTTTTCCAACGCAATCTGGGATTTTTTTTTTATTTTTTAACGTTGTTTTTATCACGTTTCTTAATCACAGTGGAATAATATCTTTTAATTTAAATATCCTTCTCTATCAACGATGTCAGCTTGTCTTTTGGACACTTTTCGAGTAATAATGCAATCGTAATGGAAATATGATAACAGATCAAACGATTGCAATCAGAGATAACTGTGATTCAATGAGATTTTTTTAAAACTTTTAATCGATCAATTTTCCCACTGGAAATGGATTATTTTCCGGAATTATTTCGTTTTTGAGCTTCTTCTGAAATTCAAAATCTAGCGAATCTCAGCGAGACACTGGAAGACGTGAATACGCGACACATGAGTACTTTGAATCGAAATTTTTCAGGTTTGACCGATCGTTTGACGGATATTTCGATCATGTGACGTAAGTTGATAATATTTCGACGATCTAACTATTTTTTAGCCTGGGTATCGCACGATTCTCTGTGATGATTCGCCAGTCGAAGTTTGGCATGCGGTACTGACCAGCGCAAGATATACGCGAGTCTCGGTGACTTTCGGAATTTCCGACAGATTCCCTCGAACGTATCACTCAACGCGGACTTGTAAGATCGAGGGACAAGGCGATTGTCTCTCTTCGTCTCGGTTCGATCGTCTCGCTTAATGGTTTGCTCAAAACTGAGTATTCCCTGATCCCCGAAGGATTTTTTATCCTTTCTGCGAACGTGGGTGGTGTTGCCCCACTTTAACGGGGGCTTGCGCGTGCCGGTACACACGAAGACATGACTAATCCCCCCCTCTCCTTTTATTCGCATCTTGTGCAGCCCCTGGGTGCCGGTGTCGGGGCCGGGGCCGGGGCCCCGAGAAGAATTTCTTCGGTCGCGCGGCGGCGGCGGCAGCTTCCTCTTCTTCGAGGATGCGCGCCCTCCTCTTTGACGTCAAAGCTCGTTCCCTCTCGATGAACCTGCCATCTTCCTCATCACCGCTACCGCCGCCTCTGCCGCCGCTGGCTGTTCCCTTAAACATAGATTTAGTATCGCTAGTCAACCTCGGGCATTGACGTCACACCTTGGTGTAATGCCCATATAGCGGAAAGAGGAGAGACCGAGTGTCTCGTGCTTCGTGGAATCTCATCTTCAGCAATATCCTCACGTATAGCACCACGAGGATGGCGATGACGATGACGATTACGCGTGACGAGAGTACGCGAGGGGAGTTACTTCGAAAGTAGTAACGCAACGCCTTTCCCTTTTGACGTTTACGCGCGGCATAATTTTCCCGCGTTGACGCTCGCGCGCCTCGGATACCATCGACCTAGTCACGCACGTACTGCTGATTTTTTCCTAAACTCGGCACTTCGTGGAATTACCAGTGAGACACTATGGAAGGAACACTGCGGAAGGTAAAACACCGGGATTGAATCATCTTATTCCCGATTTCGTAGGCCCGCATCCCGGATGAAGCTGCAGACAGGCTTCATTATCTTCAGATCTCTGTTTGAGACGGTATTAGGTATTTTAGACGCTGAGAGCGATATAGGTTTATCGTTGTCATCGCGACGCGGCTAAAATATTAAAAATTGCCACCACTTTGCGAAAGCATTTAAAATGACATTTACATGCAAGAACGCTTATCCCTTCCATCACTCTCCCTCTCTGGAATAATGCCGTTCTTGCTGTACGTTCGCGTGAACCTGTTGAGGTGGAATCATCGGGCACTCTGACGGGGTACCCGAACATGCCTTCTTTTTTTTTTTAAAGATCGGAGAACACACACATGTCGTAAAAGCGCTTAGCATTTTCACTAACTCTTACCATTACCGTTATTTTTTTTCCGTCTAGCGTGAACATGTGTGCGCGTGTATACGCACGAATATATTTGGACAAAAAATATCGAAAAATTCGATAAATGTACTAATTCAATCGATCGTTACGAACGGATGTGCATAATATTAATAAATGAGATTTTCTAATGCGATAAATACAGCTAAACACATTTTTTTATCTTAAAAAAATATACTTGAAATAATCAAATCTCTATTTACTCCTCTTCAGCTATTTATTAAATTTTTCTTCATAATTTATTTGTACTATTCTATCGTTATTTCTTTTTTTATTTGTAAAAAATTCTATCATTTCACTTTTTCTTCATTCAAAATTGAGATATTAAAGTTATTAAATAATAAGAATACATTAATTTCCTTTTTTTTATTTTCGGACTTTAGTTACAATGCCAGATGGTACCAGGATGTCGGAAAAACAGAGAGAAAGGAGAGTAAGAATAAAGCTGATCCCCGATTTTGCAGATTAGAAATTTAATATCCCAGAATAAATATTAACTTTTTCTAAGTCCGTTCATTTTTTGCAAGATTGATGTAGAAATTTGTTCTGCAACATTATTTATGTTATGGTAATGTTGTTGTTATTTAAACATGTATTCGAATTTTTGGACGAATCCTATTTGACTGCAAAAAAATTGATATATTCGTCGACGATATTGCAAAAAATTACACGAAGGAGATCAACGATGAAACCGGTTTTCTAAATGATTAAAAAAACAAATAAGACATGCATATAGGGTATTTCGACTTTTAATTCTACATATATTTTGATTTTACATTCTATATACGTGAACACTAAGTATTTTATTGTCATCAATTTAATTTGCTGCATTAATTTGCATTATAACGCCTGACTGTATTATTTTTAAGTTTTTTTCGGGTTTTAGGAAATGGGACGTATGTTTACGCACTTTGTACATAAAACTTTTGATATTTACTTTTATTCTGCAAATATTCAATTTAAAAAGATTCCACAAAACAGATATCAGATGTACAAATGAAAGAGATAAAACATCAAATCTATAAATAACACACTTCGAAATAACTCCCTTTTTGTTTATATAAATAACTCTGCCGGCAGATCGTTTCTCGTTGGAAAACTCGCGTGTGTACCGAATTTAAGAACGGAGTACGTGGCGACCGTGCAAGCTCTCCTGATGCATTCGTCCATCGGCAGCTGTGGATGATATGCCTTGAAATATGCGAACGCGCCCAAAAATGCATCCCCGGCACCCTATCGCATACCATTACACTTAGCTGCCTGAAGCAATTCCGTTTTAAATACATGCCAATCATTTGAATGAATCACTAGAAGTGAATCAGCGTCCCAGTCCAGTCCGGAAATTGACCGGTTGTTCGTTCAAAAGATTGTGACCCGGAAAATACCATCAAATACTTTCACCGTTCCGACCGTGAGAAAGAAATTACGAATCAATTTACAAGATTTGTATAAGCAGGAAGTACGGACCGTACGTGTAAATGATAGAACGAAAATGACCGCGTTAAATCTAACAAAACTTATAGAAAGTGTCTTAGAATTATCACATAATTCTGAGACACTTCATCAAGTTATCAAATAATTAAATTATTAAAACATATGTCTTCTCAAAAGAACGAATTCTTCAATTTTGTTGAATAATGACTCAAACAATTCATCATGAAATCTATCGTGATTACGACAGTTCTACAACACTGTGTATGCAATACGTACGGTAGTATCTACAGGGTGGACCTCAGTAGTGGAAATTCGCGTGATGTTTCTGTTCATTTTCGATGCATATGCAGCTCCGAGAGGTCCGAGTGTAAGGATGATTGCATTGCATCCCTTAGCTAGGAACTTGTCCGCTACTTGTTGTATATTCGACAGGTTCACAGGTTGAATGCCCGTCATAATTTCCGCCTACAAAAGCGTAATGGAGTCCTTGGTGTATTTCAGACGTCCTAATGCTTTGGCTCTATTATCTCAGAAAACAAAAGTCCAAATTCTGGACATACACAAGAAAAAGATACTTAAACATTTATTTGAAATATATTTATTCCACTGAAATAAATCTTAATTTTAAAATACGGCGAAATAAAAATTTTTTATTCCTAGTAAATAAACCGTCTATTTTTACAATTAATAAGATATATTTCACAGAAATGTATATTTCGTCATCACAATCAAATTTTTTCATAATTAATAAATATCGGAGGAAATGTCGTAAATAACATTTGCTTTACAATACTTCGATATTTTTCTCTCAGTGTAAAATATCTTATAAGACCAGTATTCAATCAATTCTTATATTTAAAATCATCTAACAAGTGAAATTAGACAACCCAGAAATTCAGAAAATTCTGAAACATTGTGTGCAAGTAGAATAGTTCATCCGTAACACAGAACTATTTTTTGTTCGTGCCATATTACGGTTTGAGAAGGTAAAATCATCCCTTGAAAAAAATGTAAATTTTTTTTTTACGAAATAACTGCCGAACGGTGAGAGATATCGAAAAAAAGTTTTAAAAAAATTACATTTCTTTCTTGACGCGCGCGCGCGTCCTTAAAATTAAGTTTTTGTACTTTATTTATTATATTTATTATTTATTTGTCATATAAGTTTTGTAAATTTATATGAAAATACTTCTCCGTAGCTTCTTTTTATACATCATAATCAATTAATTTTTTATTTATTTAAAATTATTGAATTTTTTAAGTACATTTTAACATTTTGATTATTAAAATGGTTTTATATATAAAGTGATATTTAATTATTATTAATATACATTTCAGACAGCTTTAAAATTATTTAAGCAAAACAGTATGTCTTTACAATTGCACGAAAGATAGAACTAATTAAAACTAATCAGTGACGTATATGAATCATAAAAACAGCAACGTACGCATATATTACTTGAGGTGTTATATTATTAGATAATTTTACAAACTATCCACAAGATATTGCACGGAACTCTATTTTAACATTAAATGACGCAGACTTTGCGTCATTTATAATGACTATTGATCATTTGTTACATTAAATGACGCAGACTTTGCGTCATTTAAAATAGTGTTCCAATATCATATTTATCGTGCGATTTGCAAAGCAGTTTGATAAAAATAACACCTCAAGTAATGTATATCTTGTTGTTAAGACCCATATACGTCACTGATTAATTTTAATTAGTTTTCTGTATCTTACATGCAGTTGTGTGTATGTAATTATTATATATATACTGTTTGTTTAAATAATTGAAAGCCATCTGAAGTGGTTTTATAAAGAGATATTAATAATAATAATCAAATATCGCTTTATAAAACCATTTTAATAAACAAAACTGCCGAGGCGCACTTCAAAAATTCAATGAATTTTTTTAAATAGGTAATATATAAATTGATTATAACATATAAAAATAAATTATGGAGACATATTTTCGCATAAATTTACAAAGCACAAAAATTCAATTTTAAAGATTGGTGATGAGAGTAACGCAGAAAATATGAATTATTTGATATTTATCTATACGCAGCTTTACAGATATAAAAAAAGAGATGCAACTTTTGTTAAAATTTTTTCCGATATCTTTCATCATCAGCAATTATTCCATCAAAAAATCTACATATTTTTTTAAGGAGTAATTTTACTCTCTCCAATCGTAATGTGGCATAAACGAAAAATAATTGTAACTGTGTTATGATACTATTCTACACTGTTATTATTCTACTTGTATACAATGTTTCAAAATATTCTATTTAATTTTCGGGTTGTGTTTATGTGTGTGAGTGTATATCTCCTTTGTTAAATACAATTTTAAAATATCATAAGCCAATCACAGAATCGTATTATAATCTTAAGGCGATTTTAAAATAAGAATAGACTACGAATATCGGCCTAAAAGACATTTCTTAAACTTAGATATCATCTTAAAGACATTTTTACCAAAAGACATTCCAATTTTGGCTTAATTGTTATTTAGAATAATTGACTCTATTATATTGAAAAAAAAAAAAAGAAAAATCGTCTTCATTATCTTATCAATTGCACTAATTGTTTACGTACCTCCGTCTCATTGACGCAGAAAATGTCACATAATCTAAGGATTTCCGGATCAGGGTTTTCCAATGCGGGCGCTCCGTTGACAATAGAAAGTCCTATCATCATGTTACGCTTACGTAAAATTGTATTCATAGCTCTCTCGTAACCGCGATATCGTTAATCCTATCTTTTTTAGGACTCATGATAACACGGCTTAGAAAGAGGAAGATGCAGTGTTCAGATATTTCTACATGGAGAAAAAAAAAGCGAGGAACGAACCATGGCCCCGATGTAACTTCAACGCATGCAGCGTGGCTTCCAACGGCACCTCAAACTGGCATAATAAAATGCTCGCGCTTTGGATCACGTCGACGGCGGAATCCACAAGTTCCGGAGTCAACGATTCATTTGCACCTAACACGATTACGATGCTGTTCTCACCTACGAACGTTATTCGAAAAGTGCCCCGATTATTTACTGATGGGACCAAAGAAATGATCTTAACGAGAAGTTAGAAGTTAATTCCGTTAGTTCTAATGATATTAATGATTTATTCAGAATCGAAGCTACTTGTTTTTCCACGTAAACTGCAATTTTGAAGCACTCGAAAAGATTCTGATTTATATTTTTATTACGTCTAAAACGTACCATTTTCAGCAACGGTAATGTGAGCAACACCGCTCTGCTTATCACTTTGTATCTTCACACGAGATGCGTCTACATTTTCCTTTCTTAAAATCTCTAAATATTCTTGAGCAAACGTGTCGGAACCTAACTGTGATAAGAGATAAGGAATATGTAAGTTGTGCAACAAACCGTAATTAATTAGAGAGAAATCATATAAACAAATATTGGATAAAAACGAATAGGTTATATAATACTATAAAGCCCACTTTATAGACGATCTATAATTCACGACCAAATTCGGGATAGAATTCTATGTATAATATTGCGTGTCGTGTATATAACATAGAAAACATCTGAAAAAGTAAAATACACACATATAGAAAATATATATCAGTGATACATATTTTATATGTATTTAACTTCTTCAAATATTTTCTATGTTACACGCAGTGTTTTCCGTTATCTAGATAAAATTATCTAAATAATTATATAAATGAAGAAATGGCTTTATCTGTATTATTAAAAATATAAATTATCTTTATCTTATCTTAGATAAAATATTTTTCAAATTGACTAAGATTGTATAAGAGTATTGTAAAAAAAATTTCTATATAACTTCTAGTAGTAGTACGATGAAAATTTTATGATATAGATAAAACTAGGATTAGTATGACATCAATCATAATTCAAAGCGACATTGAAGTACTTTCATATTTAGAAGATAAATCTAAGGAATTAGATATTCTTAATTTGTATCCACACGTCAAACAAATTTTTTTTAAATATAACACATCATTGCGATTATCAACGCTAATAGAGCGCCTTTTTATTTGTGGACAACAAATATTAATTCCACGTAGAAATCGTTCGTTAAACGAAATGTTCAAAAAAACTTTTATTATTTATTATTTATGTTTAAAAAATAAAGATTAATGAAAATATAAATGCATTTTTTGTATCCTAATGCCCAATTTCTACACTTCCAGATAAGTTGCGGATACCCTTATCTAGAAGATATCTCCATTGTATCCTGGGAGATATCTCTTGGATAAAGTTATCTAGAGGTGAAGAAATTGGACATAAATCGTTTCACTGCCTAATAGTGAGTTAAAAACAAAATTATCTAGAACTAACTATCTTAAAAATTATCTATAATAGATAAAATTTTTTTAAATTTCATCTTTTATCTAGATTAATAAAGTTAATCATCTTCATCTTATCTAAGATGCATTTTTGTGTGATTTATCTTATTTATATCTAGATAATTTTTAATTGTCTAAGCGCAACACTGGTTACACGACACGCAATATTATAAATAGAATTCTATCCCGAATTTAGTCGTGAATTATAGATCGCCTAAAGTGGACTTAAAAAACAAAAAAGCCAAATGCAGAAGTGACACGTTGACTCCATCTAAAAAATAAATGCCTACTGAAGCAATAAGTGTTGTAGATCCACCAAGTTTAGCAGCTGTTACACACTGATTGGCACCTTTACCACCGTATTTCTTTTCAAATCTAGTCCCGATTATCGTCTCGCCAGGTTTCGGCAACCGTGGAGAGAAACTAAAAAGCAATAACGTTAAAAAATTATAACGAAGTTGGACCGTTGAGAATAAATCTAATTAAGAGAAATTCTGTATTCGGTCAAAGCGAATCAGAGGACGGAATCCATAGATGATGCTCAAGATTCGAGATGGTCTTAAGCTAGTGCATGAACCAATCAGAGAGCCGTATTAGCATCTTAAGACAACCTTGGTTGAGAGATTAAGAACGGACTATGGATTCCGGCCTTAGTGCTCAAAATTTTGATGTGAATTTATACATATTCAATTCTGCAAACCGCGCGTCGAAATCTTTTCCAGTTTTCTTAAAACGCAATTATGAACAAAACTAAAATAGTGATATCGTATATTAAAATTGACAAGCAATTTAATAATATTGATGCTAATAAGCACTTTATAAGAATATTAATAATTTGATGTTAATAAGTATCTTAAAAACCTTTTAATAATTTTATTGCAAAAAATACCTCAGCCGAGATTCGAATCCGGATCTCCCATAAAGAAATGATAATATTACGATACGGATTGTAGCTATTTATTATATATATATATATATATATAATCAGATTTTCTTCAATTAGGCATGTTAAACAGAACTATATAAATTACTGCAATGCACAATCACAGTAAACAGAAAGCATCTTTCTTTGCGCAACTTCTAATTATATTTATTATCGCAATTATACAATATTTACAACACAAATCACATTGTAATGTTAATAATTAGAGATCGATCGACCACGAGACAGTGTCAACTTTTGCAACGTGCAAAAAAGCTTCGTCCTTACTCACCAGGTAAAGTCAATCATGCACGAACCGACAACGACTATCTTTGGTGTCATACCGCACAGTTTTTACTCTCTTTTTCGCTTATACAATTTTCTCGCGAGCAATCAACTCTAATTATTAAAATAAATGTTATTTACTGCAACGTGATGCTTGTAACAATAATTATTTCTGAGCAGCAACTAACCGCAAGTAGAGCGCATAGATGACTCGCGTTATCGCTGTTTGTTCAACGAGTTCGTAAACTAATAATAAGATGTTATCGTTATCGGTCGAAAGATCATTCTTTGCGCGTGATCCAACGTATGTACCGCGTGCGGAGCCTCGTGACGGTGACGAGACTCCGAAAGGACGAAATAAGAGAAATGCCGCAGACACGTGAATTAATTTAAACCGCCGTCTATTACAAGAATAAAAAAAAAGAGGCTTTATTTACAGCAGCGTTTGCCTTGACGGGGACAGGTTATCTTTCTTTTTTCTTTACAGTTATCATATCATATATCAGGACGAAGTCACACATTTGTGGGAGACTATCGAAATTAACTTGCACCGCTAGAGAAGCGTTTAAGTATACTCGACGATCGTTATAAATCTCGCGATGGAAAAAACAACGCGCCTACGTGATCACCCACGTATGTACGCACGTTTTGGAACGTCTTGACATCGCCATGTATTATCGAGAACGATAGATGGGCAGCCCGGAGTAACGAGTTCCGAGTCTTACGTTACAAGTATATTGTCGTATATTACGGCAAGTATATTGTCCGTATTGCATTGGTAATCGCCATATTGAGTACATTCGGTACTACAATCGCTTACTCTGGATCTACAATAGGGTTTTAAGCCTTAAGAGCCACTGTCACCAAGCTCAGTTAACTTAACTGGGCCAATTAATCCATCGGAATTGACCAATCTGTCAATTCTTCAAACAAAATGACAAATGCGATTGGTTAATTCCGATGGACTAATTGGCCTAGTTAGATCAACTGAGCTTGGTGACAGTGGCCCTAAGTTATAAGAAATGGGCGAATCACAGTCGATTATTCCCCTCGGATTCGACTGTTGGTCAATTTCTTACGGCTTAAATCTTAAAACACCTATCGTAGATCCGGACTTATAGCCATTCTACAATAAGCCATTAGCTGGAAATTGACGATTGTCACAGTAGTCTGGACAATTTCCAGCTTCTAACTTCTGATTTATGATTAATGGCTTATTGTAGAATGCGTGTAAGGTTGGAATCAGACTACGCATTGAAGATTGAGGTTGAAGATTGAAGATTGAAATTTGACCAATAAGGACAAAGAAATTTTAGCCCCTTTCGTTTCGATTGGTCAAATTTGAATTTTTCAATCTTCAATTTCAATCTTCAATGCGTAGTCTGATTCCGAAGCGCTCAGTGATCTCTTGCATTTGATAGGCATATTCCGTTAGATCTAAAAATATAGACCAAACAGGTGCAAGAGCTCACTGAGTGAGCTCGGTGAACGACTGTGAACGATTGTAATACTGCACTTACCTACTGTGCACATGAGAATCCGGTTAGCTGTTCATGTATACCCTGCTGAAAAAAAATCATGTCATAACGTTACATGATGGAATCATGTAATTAAAATATATAAATTACATAACGGATTGTTCCAAATCAGTACGTGATTTTTTAAAATGTAAATTTAAAATGTAATGTAAATTTGAAAAATCACATGATATTACAAATAATTTCATCCATCATGATGTTATAGTGATGTTATAGTTATCGAATATTTTAAAGAATTGAATGATAGGAATAGAAGAAAAAAGAACATATCATCATGTGACTTTTCAAAATACGGAATTTTAAAATCATGTACTGATTTGGAACAATCCGTGATTTACATTACGTGATTTACATGTTTTAATTACATGATTTCAAAGTGCAACTATATGACGTGATTTTTTTTAGCAGGATATGCTAAAGCGATTTAACGCAATTGCAGTTATTTAGTAGTGATTATATTGCAGATTTACAATCATTCCATTGAATGTGTCTATCAGTAGTATAATCGCTCACTGAGTAGCTAAGTATTAATTGTAAATAGCAATCGAAGGTGATTGGTTGAATCTAAATAAGATAAGAACCAATCATCTTTAATTGCAACTCAGTGAGCGCTTGCGCTATAAGATGCACCTATACCTCCCTCTAATATAAGAGTCTGAACATGAACCATATTTTGAATAAGATCTCTTATAGTTTTAACAAAAATGACGCGAAAGGGATCGAAAAACATACATTCACTATTTCTTTCTCTTTTCGTTCTATCTTTTTCTATCTTTCTCTCTTTCAGGAGTTGTTAAAATAAAATATGGCGGACCAATGAAAAGTAATTGTTTTGTGTCCAAAGTCCAGACTTTTATTAGGTCGGAATCAGTCTACGCATTGAAGATTGAGATTGAAGATTGAAGATTAAAATTTAACCAGCGAGGACAAAGGAATTTTAGCTCCTATTGTTTTGATTAGTCAAATTTCAATCTTTCAATCTTCAATCTCAATATTCAATGCGTAATCTGATTCCGGCCTTAGATCTCTACTCTCTAGATGATGCACTAAATGACTGTATTTTGCAGACTCAGCAATTGAGTGAACGCTGTCCGAGTTCTAGAACTCTGTTCGAATTCTTGAATCCAGGAATGTGTACCCAATCAACATGTAGTTTTTACGGAAAAACGGCAAGTTGATTGGCTACATATTTCTCGGTCCGAGAATTCGGACCGAGTTCGAGCACCGTGGACACATGCTGGATTCACCCTGCATCCGATTTTCATCGTACGACGCTTTGCAACCAATCAGAAAATAGGATTCCGATGATACGAAGCAAAATTTATCGGAATCCTGTTTTCTGATTGGTTGCAGAGTGTCGTACGACGAAAATCGGATGCAGGGTGAATTCAGCAACAGAGCTTTATACAAATCCGTCTGAATTGGCTTTCATAATATATCGCTTTCATAATAGATCGCGAACTTGATTTGAATCGATATTTTCAGTATTCCGAGTGAAAACCATTTTCATACCACATTTCAAACTGACTGACATGCACAGACAATTTCGCATACAAAGAATACACCTAAATTAATTGCCTTTTTTCTTTCCAAACAAACATCAAATGTTAGTGCGCCATTCCAATTAATCGCTCTTGATCTTCCGAAGGATTAGCATTTACTGCGAAATCAATCAGAAATCGATGAATATCACGACGTTATTAAAATAGCTATGGGTAATTTACTGTTCACAGGTTTGTGTCAAGCGATTTCTTTCTAATTCATCTTAGAAGAATCGAAAATCGTTTTTACGCATCAATTCACTTTCTATCTGAAAAATCTATGTTTTCTTACTGTTTTTTTGGCGCAAGCGAAATTTCACTCTCGAATTTCTTCGTAATAAAAGAGGATGGAGTCCGGTTTCTTCCTAAAATATCTTGTTAAAAAACATATTTGATAATGTAAAAGAAATGTTAAAAAGTAACTCTGAATTTTTCCATATTTTTTGAAAGCCTAGAACGGGAAAAAAAACTTGAACTAAACGGAGGAAGTAAAAATGCATTATTTACACGAAAGGTTAAAATTCAATTTCAATTCGCGTGCAATCAAATTTATCATAATTTATAAACCGAATTATAAATGATCATCGGGATCGATGAATTCAAATTTAATCACATAAATAGAAATTATGTCAGTTGTTGAATTGAATTGAATATTTACGCGAATGCGCATTTGACACTGTTGCCCTTCTCTCCTTTCTCCTCAAATCCCCACTCTTTCACTGTAAAGAACTCGATATAGTCGATATAAAGTAAAGAGTAGCACATCTCTCTCTCTCTCTCTCTCTCTCCCTCGCGCTGTATTCTATATCCTTTTTACGAAACTGTTACACAATTGCTCGAACTTGTTCCAGGCCGTCCAAAAAAGCGACAGAACATGACGAGCCCGGTCGTGATTTCAGCCACAGCTAAGCATACGGCAACGGTAGATATCAAAATATCCTTTCGAGGATGTAGCGGCAGTTTTTGGTTATATCATTTACGGTAGTGCGATCCTAATTGGTCATAAATGAATTACATTTACGCGATACTGAAGTCCTCTCGTTGCACCCTTTTTTTTCTTTCTTTATGGCATGATCGTCGACAAACGCACTGCTGCTCCGTTTCATTGCTCGCGAATCGATTTCATAGTCTGCTTTTTTACGACTGCATATCTTCCGCAAGGCACGGCAGTTGTCGTTTCAACGGATATAAAACTTCATGTAGCTTCTCCGAGAACGCAACTCTGTCACCAGTCCACTACTTTCACTCTTTCAGTAAAGTTACATATGACACTACTTGTCTTGAAACGCGGATTTTAAATCTGAAATTTTTTTAAAGATTATTTCTGAATAAAGTCAATACTGCCGTACTAAAGAGCATTTGTGTTTCAGTTAATATTTTTCCATGGCTTGGGTGATACAGGGTAAGTTCACGTTTCCAACACATGGTTACAATTTGGACCATTGCAAAATGACAGATTTTGCTAACGTTCTATATGTTGTTTTCAGACATGGTTGGGCCAGTTCCATGGGTGCAGTGCGATCCCCTCATGTTAAAGTTATTTGTCCTACTGCGTATGTCAATATCTTTAAATGTTCTATGATTAGAACTATGGCTCTTATTTTTCAATAACTCTTAACAACAGTGTCGATGTCATTGTATTATGTAATTTTTTTAACCACATTTAATTTTCAAACCTATGCAACAATAGGTCTGTTCGCGTTGCATGAAATCCCCAAATTTTACACTTAAAATGAGATGGATATATATTTGGCTTTGAAAAGAGAGAAAGCGAAGATGTCGAGTGCCAAAAGTGCAAGCAACGCGAACAGACCTAATATCAACACTATTCTAAGGCTACGTTCTGTTTCACGCATGATGCGCGTGATGCATCTTTTATTCTTGTTATTCACCGAATGTTAAACAATAAATGATGCATTATGCATATCATGCGTGAAACGGAGAACGCAGCCTTAGTCACATTCCAAAATGTCTTCTCCAGAAAATTTTATTTGAAATATAAAGTATATGTAATATATACTATATTATATTGAATAAAATTTTCCTTGGAAAGGATGTTTTGGAATGTAGCCCTGTAAACTAGGCCACTGTTAAGAGTTTAAAATAAGAACCTGTGTAAGTTAGTACATGTATTTTAATACATGACTTTTTTCATTTCAGGCCCACAATGCCAGTAACGCT